CTCTTTTCTTAGAGCTTTTATCATGAAATGGTGTTGGATCTTATCAAAGGCTTTTTCTGCCATCTATTGAGAATGATCATGTGGTTTTTGTCTTTGCTTCTGTTAATGTGGTTTATTAGTTTATTGATTTTTTATATGTTGAACCAACCCTGCATCCTGGGATGAAGCCTACTTGGTCGTGGTGAATGATCTTTTTGATGTGTTGTTGATTTCAGTTTGCCATTATTTTATTGAGGATTTTTGCATCAATGTTCATTAAGGAGATTGGCCTATAGTTCTCCTTTTTGGAGGTGTCTTTGCCTGGTTTTGGGATAAGTGTACTGGCTTTCATAAAATGTGTTAGGCAGTTTTCCTTCCTTTCTATTTCATGGAACAGTTTAAGGAGGGTTGGTATCAGTTCTTCTTTAAGGTCTGATAGAATTCAGCAGAGAATCCATGGTCTGGACTTTTCTTTTTGGGGAGACTCTTGTTGCTGCTTCATTTCATTTTGTGTTATAGATCTATTCGGTGATTAATTTCTCTTGGTTCAGTTTGATGATCATGTATCTAGAAATCTGTCCTTTCTTTAGATTTTCAAATTTATTTGAATATAGGTTTCAAAGTAGTCCTCTGATGATTTCCTGGCTTCCATGGTGTTTGTTGTTATCTCCCTTTTGCATTCCTGATTCTAACTAATTTGGGTTTTTTCTCTCCTCATTTTAGTCAGGTTTGCCAGGGTCTATCATCTTGTTTATTTTTTCAAAGAACAACTTTTTGTTTCATTATTCTTTGTATGGTTTTTTTGGTTTCTATTTCATTGATTTCAGCTCTTATTTTTATTATTTTCTCCTTTATTTGTTTGGGATTTGCTTGTTCTTGTTTTTCTAGGAGTTTGAGATGTATCATTAGGTCATTGATTTGGGATCTTTCAATCTTTTTATAAATATGCACTCATGGCTATAACTTTCCTCTCAGGACTGCCTTTGCTGTGTCCATAGGTTCGTAGGTTGTGTTTTCATTTTCATTGACTTCCAGGAACTTTTTTATTTCTCTTTTATTTCATCAATGCCCATTGTTCATTAAGCAATGAGTTTTAGTTTCCAGCTGTTTGCATGTTTTTTGTCTTTACTTTTGTTGTTGAGTTCTAGTTTTTATGCATTGTGATCAGATAGATGCATGGTATAATTTATTTTCTTATATTTGCTGAGGCTTGCTTTGTGCCTAGGATATGATCTATTTTGGAGAAGGTTCCATGGGCTGCTGAGAAGAATGTATATTGTGTAGAGTTGGATGAAATGTTCTGTAGACATCAACTAGGTCCATTTGATCTATTGTATATTTTAGATCTAGGATTCTTTATTGATTTTTTGTTTGGCCTGATCTATCTATTGATGATAATGGGGTGTTAAAGTCTCCCACACCTGTGTTGGGTTAATATGCTTTTAGGTCTTCAGGGTATGTTTGATGAAATTGGGTGCATTGACATTGGGTGCATACAGGTTGATATTGTTATTTCTTTTGGTCTATTTCCCCTTTTATTAGTATGGAATGTCTTCTTTATCTGTTTGATCAATGTAAGGTTTGAAGTCTACTTTGTCAGAGATAAGTATTGCTACTCCTGCCTGTTTTCGGGGGCCATTGGCTTGGTAAATTTCTTCCAGCCTTTCATCCTAAGCCTATGCTTATTTCTGTGGTGAGATGGGTCTCCTGTAAGCAACAAATTGTGGATCTTCTTTTAATCCATTTTGTCAAACGGTGCCTTTTGATGGGTGAATTAAGTCGCATTAACATTAAGTGTTAGTACTGATAGGTATGTGGTGATTCCTGTCATTTAGTTGTCTTAGTTGTTTGAAGGTTTGATTGTGTGTACCTAAGTTGAGGTTACTCTCTACTTTCTTGCTTTTTCTTTTCCGTAGTTTGGTGCTGCCTGTCCTTTCATGTTATGTTGGGTTTCACTTTCTGTGTGCGAATCCCTTGAAGAATCTTTTGTAGTGGTGGCTTTGTGGTCACATATTGTTTTAGTTTCTGCTTATCATGGAAGACTTTTATTGCTCCATCTATTTTGAATGATAGTTTTGCTGGGTAGAGTATCCTGGGGTTGAAGTTATTTTCATTCAGTGCCCGAAGATCTCACCCCATCTTCTTGCTTTTAATGTTTCTGTTGAGAAGTCTGCTGTGATTTTGATGGGTTTACCTTTGTATGTTATTTGTTTTTCTCTCTTACAGCCTTCAGTATTCTTTCTCGTTCTCTGTAACTTGTTGTTTTAATGATAATATGTCGTGGGTAGTTATTTTGATCTGGTCTGTTTGGTTCTGGAGGCCTCTTGCATCTGTATGGGAATATTTTCTCTAGATTTGGGAAATTTTCTTTATATTGTTGAATAATTACATTCCTTCGCTTTGCACCTCTTCTCCTTCTTGAATGCCCATGATTCTTCAAGTTTGGTCTTTTGATGGAGTCAGTGAGTTCTTGCATTTTCTTTTCACAGGTCTTGAGTTGTTAACTAATAGTTCTTTGGTTTTTCCTTTAATTACCATTTCATCTTCGAGTTCTGAGATTCTGTCTTCTGTTTGTTCTATTCTGCTGGATTGGCCTTCCGTTTTGTTTTGCAGTTTCTGTTTTCGTTCTTTTTTCTGAGGTTTTCCATATCCTGAGTCGTTTCCTCTTTAATGTTGTCTATTTTTTCCTGAGTTCATTTATCTCTTTATTATCGTGTTCTTTGTTTCACTTTGGTGTTTATACAGTGCTTCTGTGGTTTCTTTTATTTCTTCTCGTGCTTTTTTCAAATTCTCTAGTTTTGTTGTCTTGGAATTTCTTGAGTGTCTCCTGTACATTTTGGTTGACCATATCCAGTATTATCTCTATAAAATTCTCATTGAGTACCTGTAGTATTTCTTCTTTTAGATTATTCTTGTGGGCTTCATTGGGTCCTTTGGCATAGTTTATCTTCATTTTGTTGGAGTCTGGATCTGAGTATCTGTTTTTTCATTTCCTCTGGTTCCTGTACTAGTTTTTGCTGTGGGGAAACTGGTTTCCCTGTTTTTTCTATCTTCCTGTCATTGCCCTTGGTGTTGATACTGTCCCTGTACTGTGTGCAATTAAGTATTTTCTAGCTTGTAATAATAACAATGGTGATATTTAGAATGGAAGGGTGAGAGGAGAGGGAAAGCAAAGAAGTTAAAGAAAGAAGGAAAAACAAGTAAACAAACAAACAAAAAAAACCCAACCAACCAAAGTTTCAAAGATATAAACAGGGAGAGATAGTGTACCAATCAACAGTAAGCTGAACAGGCATTAGAGAGACAGAGAGAGGATTGAAAAAAAAAGTCAAGTAAAAAAAAAAAATAAAATAAAATAAAAAATTAAAAAATTAAAAAATCTCTAAGTTCAAATGCAATAAAGTTTCAGTCTTAATAATTTTGGTGTTAGTCCCTCAGCCGCTAATCCTGGAGATGGTGTCTCAGAAGTAGTTCTGTAGTTGTCTCATCAAAGGGGGAAAAAAACAAAAAAACAAAACAAGAAACCCACAAAGTGTCCCAAGTTCAAGTGCAATACAGTTTCAGTAAGTTTTTCAGCATGCAAGTATAGTTCAGTTGTTTTCTCATCAAAGGGAGAAAGGAAAAAAAAGAGTCTGGAGACAGTTCTGAGAATGGTATCTGCGGCTGTGGCTGCCTGCCCGCTGCTGTCAGCCTGCTGTTGCTGGAGGCGTTATTTATGCAGCTCTCTGGGGTGAGCTTAGCACTCACCTGGCCCCGCAGGCTTTGTTTGCTCAGAGTTCTCCTGTGTGGGAGCCTCTGCTACAGGCTTTCCCCTTTCCAAGCACTGGGAAAGTTGACACTGCCCCGCGTTGTCAGGCCTGTTTGTTTATTTACAGCTCTCGTGGGAAGTGGATCTTCCCCCCTCTCCTGTGCAGTTTTTCTCTCACCTCGGCTTTTACAAGCTTTCCCGCTCCTGATTGCTGGGCGTGTGCTGCTGCTCCTGCTTCTCCAACCTGGCTTGTTTATTTACAGTTCCATGAGGGATTTCCCTCCCCCCCCGCCCTCTTTGCTACATGTCTTTTTGTTGTTATTGCTTATTAGTTTTTATTTCTTTTTTCCCTGGGTGGGGGTCGGTCTGTCCAGGGGGCTATCCTGATCTGGCCCAGGACTGTCTGTGGGAGAACTGCTTGCCGCTTAGTCACCTTGTGGTCCGCATCTTCCCAAGCCATCTGGGTGCTGCCGTCTGGCGGTGGCGCGGTAGCCTTCCTGGTTTCTCCGTTGAACATGGAGTGGGAATGTTATGCACGGACTGGGAGTGTGGAGGAGTCAAAGTTTTGCCTCTTCTTGGTGGTTTTTCCTGTAAGGTGTATCTCCAAGATTTTACTTTAGGAGGCACACTTTCTGCTTCCTCCCTCTAGCTGCCATCTTGGAATCTCTCCATGTGATGGGTTTTTCAAGATAGGGTGTCATGACCTATTTCCCCGGGCTGGCTTTGAACCGATGTTCCTCCTGAGTAGCTGGGATTACAGGTGTGAGCCATGGTACCCAGCCTCCCAACCATTTTTAATAGCAAACAGGAACTGTTCTATGGGTTCAGTGATTCCTCTCCCATTACCAGGCAGTGTAATATTCGTCTTCTAATCCACAGCATCAGCCAGCTGGGCTTCGAGCGCTCAGGGTGCTTCACAGGTGTGGTGTCAGGAAGTACTTCCTCCACACTCACTGGACACCTACTGACTGACCCACCTGCACAGCCAGGTGTGGGCACCCCAAATCACACATGCTTCTTTTTTTTTTTTTTCTTTAGTGCTAGAGGTAGAACTCAGGCCTTGTGTGTGCTAGGCAAAACTCTCTACCACTGAGCTGCATTCCCAGCCCACACTTCCACTTTCTGAACCAGGTGTGTTGCTGTCATGGGAAATTTAATTCCCGTCCGAGGACGCCACTACTGGGAGGTGGAGGTGGACGAGCGTGTGGACTACACTGTTGGTGTGGCCTTTGAAGACGTCCCGAAACAGGAGGACCTGGGAGCGAACTGCCTTTCCTGGTGCATGAGACACACATTTGCCTCATCCAGGTAAAATAAAATCAGATACATGAGATTAAAATTTGAGATTCATGTAAGAAGTGGTTTTTATTTCTTTTTTTTTTTTTTTTGATAGGACTGAGGTTTGAACACAGGGCTTCAGGCTTGCAAAGCAGGAGTTCTACTGCTTGAGCCACGCCTGCAGTTCATTTTGCTCTGGTTATTTTGGAGATGGGTGTCTTGTGAAATATTTTTCTGAGCTGGCCTCGAAACACGATCCTCTTGATCTCAGCCTCCCAAGTAGATAAGAATTACAGGTGTGAGCAGACAGTGCTGCCAGAAAAGAGCTGTTTTAAGATAAAATGGCTAAACTTTGTGGCAAGCTCGAGTCCGAACAGTTCTATGCTTTCACCTGCATTATCTCCTTTACCATTCAGTTGCAGAAGTCAGGCCACTCTCACAGCAGTTGCATGGTCCACCCCGTGTGATTCCGAGCTTGGATGCACACACAGGCAATCTGGCTCTGCAGATAGTCTTCTGAAACCAAACAACTGAGTTTTCATTGGTGCTCAGCTCCAGTGTTAGTGGGCACGGCTTGATTTGAAGCCCAGTTCCATATTTTAAGTAAATGTGTTTTGATGAGCATGGCTTCTGACAAGCACTGTCCTTCCTCCTGGGAGCAGTTCCTTAGGGCTGCAAAAAGATCCATGGTGCCCAGGCCCATGGATAAAATGTTCAGACTTAGAAGGCCATGGTTACAACCTTCCTTTGCTTCAAAAAAATAGAATAAAATCCACAGACACAGAGAAAAAAAAAATGTGACAGAACTCCACCTTCCTTCCCAGCACCTGTTGTAAATTTGGCTCTGTTTACCTTGATGGAGCCTGTTAACTTTCATCTGGGGTTCTCTGCCCACTGCCTGCATCGGAATCATTTAAAACTCTATGTGGGAACACTAACTTCTTCCCATGACACTCAGACTACTCTGCTAAGTCTCGAAATCATCCTGGGGTTGCATGAATCACCATGCATGGAGCTGTAATGGGGATTCTGTCTGAAGGAAGATGAAGGGTCAAGTCTCCACTTCTTGAGAAAAGCGAGGACATAGACAAGGGCCAAGTAAACCTGAGGGGCAATAAAGGAGTCTGTGAAGTGGGAGGGGTGGAGACCCAAGGCAGAAAAATGACCAAGGAAGGGCAGACACAGGCTTGGAGGTATTGCAGTGTTTTTGAAATCTTATCTTGGAAAAATGTAGGAGGGAGAGGGATGGAGGAAGGAGAGGGAAGGGAGAATGAGAACTTACAAGTGGAGGATGAAAACAGGAGGGTAGGGTCTCCAGTGGACTCATGGATTTTGATTCATGGTTTTGGCCCACATTAGTGGTGAGGAAAGTGGGAGGAGGAAGACAAATTTGGCTCCATTAAGAAGCTAAAGGAAGCTCACAGTAACTGGGATGAAGATAGGCTGACTTGCTGACACCTTTGGATCTGATTCCAAGTGTTCATCTGAGGAGCTGGAACCAGCGTGCTGGCACACAGCTCTTCTGTTGTCTGTAGCTGGAGGGTTAGGCCAGGCCTGTAGCTGGTTTTGGTTTTACAGAGCATAGTTAAAGGGCACTAGTGCTACCTAATGCTGGATGGTGACAGACCTGGTGATGGTGGTGTCCGCCTGGTTTGAAGTTTAAGAACCGGATGCCACAGAGCACTTGTGCACACAGAGTTTCTACCAAAAATCTCATTTTATCACACAAAAGACCTCAGATGTCTTTATTACAAAAGATCTGCACACTTGAACCTTGAAGTCAAATGTCAGAGGCAGAGGAAATTCACGACTTAATATACAAGTTTCTTTGGAGGAAGAGATTGCTCCAGAACAGAATTTGGGACTGGAGTGGCTCAAGTGGTAGAGAACCTGCCTAGTTCAAATGCCAGTACTGCCAAAATTACAAAAAAATAAAACCCAAGAACAGAGCTTGAAAAAGTGTTTCCTAGGACGAATGCTAGAAAAGGGAAATAGTATAATTTTGGAAATGACTTATGATCTTAGTAGTCATTTAGTGTGAGGCAGTGACAGAATTACAGGAGAATGGATAAGATATGCAATCATCGGCAAATGGCTCATCTACAGAATTTCTGAAGCTTTGTTGTATCAACCTCTACTTTTCAGGCACAAGTATGAATTTCTACACAACAGGACAACTCCAGATATAAGAATCACAGTCTCCCCCAGGAAGATTGGCATTCTGTTAGACTATGAAAACTCACGACTGTCGTTTTTCAATGCAGACATCCCTCAGCACCTATACACTTTCAGCTGTCAACTTCACCAGTTTGTACATCCCTGTTTTTCCTTGGAAAAGCCTGGCTGTCTGAAGATACATAATGGTATTGCAAAGCCAAAGCACGTCACTTTCTACTAGGCCTTCCTGCCGTCCAGCCTCCGGCCTCTCTCCTCGGCCTCCCCCTCAGCCTCTCGCCCCGGCAGTCTGCTCGTGAATGAGCACCACACTCCCAGCATTATCGTGGGTCCTTATTACCTGGCAGACTGGTGTGTGGGCACCAGTGCACCTGACCTGGATTCTAGCTCTATGCATTGCTGCCTGCAGGATGCTAGGGTAGTCATGAGGACTGGACTAAAGGAACTCACAGGGCTCTCAGGTGCTCAAACTACGTGTGTATGTGCAGAGCATCTGAGTCTCCCAGTCCTTCGGAGCCTGTGCGGCGGTCGTCTTCTTAATGGCTTCAGTTCCTGTACACGTGTGACATTCTCCAGCCGTCAGGAACACAGATGAGGAGGTGAGAAGCTGTTCAGTGAACCAGCCCTTCTCAATGCCTTCTGCCCTCCTGTTCCCGACAGTAGCACTGCTGTGGTGAGGTTCCTCCCACTGCACTAACGCCCTGTCCTCTTCTCAGTTCTCACCACTCTAACTTTGGGATCACCTCTGTGATGCCTAATTCCATGAAGGCAAGGACAGTGTCCACCTTATTCCTCACTTGAGCCTCAGGCTATCATGTCAGCTGTACACCAAATAAAGCTATGTGCAGTCATGAATCCTGTCTTCATGCAACCACTGCTCTCCATGAGAAGGAGGCAGAGCTCCTTCCTGGCTGCAACAAAGGACCCACAGCCAGGGGGTGAAGGAAACCTGAAGGGAGGCAGTATGGAGGAGCAGAGGGGCAGCTATGCTTGATGGCAAGAATGGGAAAACAGTGTGTGACTTGCTGCTACACACAGCACATGCGGTCCACACCTGAATGTTCTTTGCTGGGTATGCTGAGGGGACACTGGGACATGAGCATAAAGAAGACATTACAGCCGGGTGTGGCAGCTCACACCTGTAATCCAAGCTGCTCAGGATTGTGGCTGGAGGCCAGGCTGAGCAAAAGGTTCACATGACATCATCTCTGCCAATAGAAATAGGATCAAGGTCCAGGTTAAATGTGAGAGTCTACTGAATAATGACAGAGGGGCGAATTTAACTAAGATATAGTCTAAGCACTTTTGTAAATGTCACAGTGCATCCCCAGTACAATATAGTAATAAAAAAGGAAAACTAAAGCAAAAGGAGCCAGGGTACATGGCTTAAGAGGTAGAGCACCTGCCTAGCACAAGGCCCTGAGTTCAAATCCCAGGACCACCAAAACAAAAAAACAAACTATAGTTGTAACTGATTCTAGGAACTGCCTACAATGTAGAGCTAGATCTGAAACAAGGAGACCTGGGTTTGTGCTACTTTTTGACTACTCTGCCTTATGACCCTGGAAAAGTCACCTTACGTTCCACATCCATTTCCCTTCAAACAAAGGGAAAAAGATTTGTCTCATGGGATTGGAAGATTTAATGGCAAACCTGAGAGAAACTTACAATACCAGTATGCAGTAAATGCAGTGTTTTAAAGAAATCAGCCCACTCAGGCACCAAAGTGGCCTCTAGCTGGTGGCTCTCCAGCCTCCTGCCTCACTGTCTCCAGGCCCCTGGTACCTGGGTGTCCAGCTTTCCAGCTCATGTTTCCAGCTGCCACTGAAGCTCTGCACACAGCACAGTCAAAGCTTATGAATAAAACCTCCATCTATGAAGCAGTTACTGAGACCATCTGGCACTATGCCCTGTGGCTGCCTCTAAACACAGATGTGCCTAATCTCATCACCGAGCTTTGTAAACCCTTTGTAAATCTTTCCCTTTCAAGCTTTTCATGTTTTCTGGCACTGACACTCTTGTCCACTGACTTGTTGGTACACACAGCAGCTCAGATTCCCGAGTTAACCACCTGCCCTGACAGCTTAGTGACTGTCCCTTACATATACACCTGCCCTGAAGCTGGGGCATGTGCCTTGCAACAAGGACACATGTAAGCACAGAAATGGTTTAGTTACACGCAAGCTTTCGGTAGCTGAGCATGTATGTATGTACACATGTGTCTATGTTCATACCCGCACACACGTGCTCAGCTACGCAAACAGAAACTACCAATGGGAATTTGACATCGTAATAAGGCTTCTACTAGGCTTCTGGAGTATTTCATACTGCAATATGTACATAGGTGAATAGATACGGGGGATAAAAACATGACACCTGAAAGATTTTAATAAAATTTTTATTTGACCAAGAGAAAACTACCTAGAATTATCTTTGACACTTAAAAGCCAGTTTAAAAGACAGAGGATCAAGTTCAAATATCACAATTATTCAGCACAAAGGACTTTTGCTTAAACGCCTTTCTCATCTTCTGCAAAAAGAAAAAGTGAGTGTAGAACAAAGCCCCAAACCTTGTGTTTCTTGTAAGACATTCCAGTTTCTTAAAACCCCATGATCAATCTGATGAAACTAAATGCCCACAAGGGCAGAGTTTACCTCATGGCCGTGTCCACGTGCAACCTGCTGGTACATCTGTTAAAAACAAAATGGAAAAGATTTCTTAAACATTGACCACTGTCACCACAATCCCTGTTCTGAGCAGTTAAAAATGCTATGAAACCTGCTCTCCGGGCTTTGCCTGTGGCACTTTGTAACTCCCTC